GATTCCATGGTTCGAGTCTCTGACCCGGTGGCTTGAGAATTATTGAGTATATGCATGCTCAAAATCCTGAGTAGAGAACAAAGGAGAAGGGATTGTGCATGGCCATCCCTCCTGAGGGGTGATTTCTCACTGTCCCTGCCTCCCTCTGTCTCTGTCTCTCTCTGGCAAATGCACATACCCTAGAGCAAAAACTAAAATACATACATAACATTTAAAAGAGAGAGAGAGACAGTGGCACCATCAGCAGGATCGCCCAGCCACGAGCCTCAGCCAGCCCAAATCAAGGGCTCACGCGTGAGCCCAGACTGTAGGGAGACCGCGGACTTGGACCCAAGGCCTTCACGTGTGGGCCAGCATCACAGAGCACGGCAATATTACTATGCTACTGCTGCCAACTCTTCATGTGGGTCGCCACCCTACAAAAAGAAAATTCATACAAGGGAAGCCAGAGGAGGGAGTGTTTTAGGGAACGATTCAGGCAACGCAGTGGGGATTCCAGTGGCGCGGTAGGACACGGTGAGTCGTCCCCCTCCCTGAACCTCAGGCCCTTCTGATAAATCCGTCCCGTCATGCTCAGTAGAAGTCGCGTGTGCCTGCCTTCCAGGTGCCAGGCAAAGCTAAGGGTAACAGGTACTTCCCATGGCGGCTGCGAGGACTGAAAATGGAGTACCTACAACACTTCACACGGGCCTCCCCTCCCCACGACAGCTGCTCTTAGCAGTGCAGGGCCAGCGTGCAGGGCCAGGGTGCGAGCCCGTTTCTGAGTTCTGTGTTGCCGCCATGCCCAGCCTACTCTTCCTCACCTTGGGCTCTGGGATCTCACTCCACACCGTAGCGCCATCTGTCCTGTCCCGGGCAAGGGCAGTGCGCTGTGCTGTGGGCCAGTGCTGGGGACCTCCTTACCACACGGAGACAAGAGCTGGGCTGCAGCAAAAGCTTCTCTAGGGAGCACTTCGCTTCCTAGCGTAAGAATGCCGTCTAAGACCCATTGCTGGGGCCAGCAAATGGCATAATGGTTATGTCCTGGATTCCCATGTAGTCGACCACGGTTCAAGGCACCAGACCTGGTGCCTTAAAACTCATGCAGGGCGTGTGTACATGCATGCCCGGAATCCTGAGAGGAGAGTGGAGGAGAAGGGATTGCAGTGCAGCTATCCCCTGGGGGGTGATTTCTCACTTTCTGTCTCTGTCTCTCTGGCAAGTGCACACACTCTATAGCAAAAATCTCTCTTCAAAAAAAAAAAAAAAGACTCATTGCTTAGATGCTGTCCCGGGAGGCAGGGCATACAAACTAACGGCTAATCCTCTCTGGCCTCTGAGACGAACGTGAGCTGCTGCTCCACGCTCTGGACGCGACATCATAGAGCGACCGCCGTGAGGCTGGGTTACTAATTCTCGCTGGCTCTCTATTTGTGACCACATTTGCGGCTTTGTTCCTTGGTCACCCAGCACAGTTTCAGCTCCACTTGGGGTTTCTGGGTTGAGGAAGGAGATCCCTACGAAGGTAGGCGGTTCGGCGTTGCTTTGATAAGTTTAGTAAGTCTCTTCACTAACAGTTTCGTGATATTTAAGCTGCCCAGCACCTGCATAGAGATGCTTACAAAAGGAAAGAGTTTAAATCTCTCACAGATGAAAGGAACTAAGAAATTCCTCTCAATTCCACACAGAAACGGGGAAAATCCAAAGCTCTGGAATCACCAGCTACAACACAATCTGCTCTTTCACAGTAGACGGTACGACGGTTGGAGGGTGGTTCTCAGATTCCATCGGGATTACAGGGCGGGTTTGTAAAAGTACACACTCCTGCCTGCGCCTGCCTCGAGCCCACCAGCACGCACCAAGGGTCTGATTCTCCAGGGCTGCCCAAGGCCTGGGGACGTACATTTCTACCAAGTTCCCAGCTGTGGCTGCTGACCCAGGGACCCCACTCTGAGAACCAAGGGTCTGGGGCAGCAGCATCAACGGAAATAGAACACAGGCCATGCGAAGAATTTATGTCCTAGTAGCCACATCAAAAACTAAGACGAGGGGCCAGGCAGTGACAGAGTGGAGATGCAGCTGGACCCACATGGGAAAGGTCCCGGGTTTGCATCCCTGGCCCTCTCTGAGTATCCCAGGTGTGCACACTCATACCCGAGGGTCAGGCCAGCTGAGGCTGGGGGTGGCTTGTGGCCTAGTGACGATATTGGGGATACCTGTCTCTGTGTCTCTGTATCTCTCATGGAAGAAATAAATGAGGTTGGCCTTGTATCCTAGCGGCTAAGAGAGCCAGATCTCACATGGCTAAATGGTTCAAATCCCAACCCTGGCAGCTTGAACACCATGTTGGGCGTATGTGCTCGTGTACCCACAATCCTGACAGGATGGAAAAAGAGAGGAGAGATTTCAGCGCGACCATGCCACAGTGAGGGATGCTTCTCTCTCTCTAGTGAGTGCATGTACCCTTTAGCAATTAAAAATAAGAAATAATGAATAAGCCTTAAAAATAAATCAAAAGGAAACAACAGGGAAAAACAATGTTAATCACTTCAGTCATGCGTCACCTAAGGATGGGGATATATTCTTTCTTGTTGGTTTGGTTTTTGCCGTAGGGCATGTGGTCACCAGAGAGGAGGGAAAGTGAGAAATCACTGCCCAGGGGGAAGACTACGCCACAACCCCTTCTCCTCTCTCCTCCTCCGGGGATTTTGGACAAGCACGCACATGCGCCTGGTGTGATTTTCTTTCTTTTTTTTTTGGAGAGGTTTTTCCCCATAGGGGACATGTGCTCACCAGAAAGACAGAGAGACAGAGGGACAGAAAGTGAGAAATCACCCCACTGGGAGTGAGAGAGATGGCCACACTGCAATCCCTCTCCTCCATTCTCCTCTTGAGATCTTGGGCACACACACACACACACACACACACACACACACACATACACCCGGCTTGAGTTTAAGCCACCAGGTCCAGGACTTGAACCGCAGTTGACTACAAGGGAGTCCAGCGACATAGCCATTACGCCAACTGCTGGTCCCAGTACGTGGTGTGATTTTTAAGCTGCTAGTTCCAGAACTCAAATCGTGGTTGGCCATGTGAGAGTCCAACGCCTTAACCACTATGCCGCTGCTGGTCCCGATGTATTTTTTCTTTTTTGGGGGGAAGTGGGGGGTGGGGAGGTTTTTGCTATAGGGCACGTGCACTCGCCAGACAGACAGAGAGAGACAGAGAGACAGAAAGCGAGAAATCACCCCCCAGGGGGGATGGTCACGCCGCAATCCCTTCTCCTCCATTCTCTTCTTGGGATCTTGGGCACACACGCACACGCGCCTGGTGTGAGTTTAAGCCACCGAGTCCGGGACTCGAACTGTGGTCGACTACGTGGGAGTCCAGCGACATAGCCATTACGCTAACTGCTGGCCCTGGTCCTGATGTATTTTTTAATTGCCAGGAAATGTGCGCACTCACCAGAGAGAGAGAGGGAAGGCATCCCCTAACGGGTGGTGGCTCCATCATCCTTTTTCCTCCGTTTCTCCTCTCCGTGAGGAGTGCGGGCACGCACGTATATGCACCCGGCGTGTTCTTCTCAGGGCGTAAGCACAGGCTATGGGGACGGCTCAGCACATGTCAATTCTGCCACGTGGTTGGTGGCTTCTGGACCAGACAAGGCAGGGGTAGCAAACTCTCATGGTCTGGAGGGCACCATCGGCTTTTCAAGGACTCGGCTTTCACTCGGTGCATGGAGGGGGCCTGACAGGGTTTTAAGTAGAGATCGGACGTGACTCATGTCACATGTTAGGAGGGCCAGGGCTGGGCACAACCCGCTGTCACAGGGGAAGTGGCTGGAGTAGACACTTTTTTTTTTTTTTAAGAATCATTTAATTTTTTTAAAGGATTATGTATTATTTAACTTTATTTAATTTGACCAGAGAAGGACAGAGTGAGAGACAGACAGAGAGAGAGGGAGAGAGAGAGAGGAAAAGTGGGAGAGCAAGCCAGTAGGTCCAGGACTCGAACCGTGGTCGGCCTTATGGGAGTCCAGTGTCCTTAACCACCACACCACCTGCTGGCCCCAGAATCATTTCAATTTTTAATGTCTTCTTTTTCTTCTTCAATTGACCAGAGAGAGAGAAAAAAGAGAAGGAGAGTGAGAAAACAAGCCACCAGGTCCAAGACTCAGACCCTGGTCAGTCATGTGGGACTCCAGTGCCTTGTCATGCTCTCTGCCAGGCCAGACACACACACACACACAGATGTGTGTATACACACACACTTTTTTTTTTTTTAAGGTTTTTGCCATAGAGTGCGTGGGCTCACCTGGAGAGAGACAGAGTGACACGGAGAAGAAAAGCGAGAAATCACCCCCGAGAGGGGATGGCCACACCCCAATCCCTTCTCCTCCTAGGGTTTTGGGTACTCATGTACACGTGCCCTGCGTGAGTTTCAGGCTACCAGGCCCTACCCTCCAATGGTGGTCGGCCGTGTGGGAGTCCAGGGCCTTAACCACTACGCCAGATGGACAGAGAGAGACAGAGAGACAGAAAGCGAGAAATCACCCCCCAGGGGGGATGGCCACACCACAATCCCTTCTTCTGCTGGCCCCCAGACACGTATTTTTCAGGTAGGAGTGAAGGACTACGGGCCTCAAGAAAAGGAGGTTTCAAAGATGCCCAGGCTCCGCCTTGGTAACTGGGAGGCCAAGCTGCGAGCTGCGTCACTCAGACGGGGAGGTGTGGGAAGCAGATGTGGGGACAAGGGAAGCGGAGGGGACTGCGGTGAGCCTCCGGTCAGTCCACATCACATGACCCAGGGCAGAGGACCTTAAAGAACGGCAAAAACATCTCGCAGGTTTCCTTCTTGACCCCAGAGCACCCATTCTCTCTGTTCCTGGGTCCAAACATGCTGGGCCCCCTAGAACCTGCCACAGGAGCCTCCTTCTCCGCCTGGGGACCAATTTGCTCACTGCCCACCCAGAGCTACCAGAAGCACCCACAGCTGCACCCTGGGGTCTCGGTCTGTACCTTGCTGAGCCGGGACTCGAACGCCAGCGAGGTGGAGGATTTCGAACTCCTCATGCCGGAGGCGGCGGTGGGGAGGGGCCGCGCACGGTCGGGGCCATGGCTCCCCGCTTTGCCAGCTGGGCTCCAGGGCTTGGCTGCACTCCGCATGTCTGTCCTGGCGGGGCTGTCGTTCTGCAGAGGGCGAGAAGACAGACGCGGTCACCATGACTTGAACCGGCTGAGGTTTACGGTTAGAACCAGCACGAAGTTCCCCCCACCACATCACCGGGAATGAGGCTTATAAAAAGGGGTACCCTGGGACCGCGCTAACCTGTATAACTTCACAGCAGCTTCCGGCAAACTGCTGAGACACGTGCACGACCACACTGATGTGCCGATATTCATTTAGGCAAAACAGGGAAGAAACACCAGGTACTGTGTGTGTGTGTGTGTGTATGCGTGCATGTGGCAGGCCTTCTGAAAGTTCACAGGAAAATGAAATGAAAGTTTATTTTGGTACGAACAGCTTTTGAAATCTACACAGTTTTTTAAAAATATTTTATTTATTTAAAGAATTTTAAAAAGAAATATTTATTTTTATTTATTATTATCATCATCATTATTTTTTAAGAGGTTTTTGCCTTAGGGCATGTGCACTTCTTGGAAAGAGAGACAGAGACAGTGAGAGGGAAAGTAAAACAATCATCCCTTCGGGGAGGAGATGGCCATGTCACTCTCCTCCATTCTCCTCCTGGGATCTTGGCACGCACACGCATGTACCCGGCATGATTTTCAAGTCACCGGGTTCAAGACTCCGATCTCAGTCAGCCATATCAGAGTCATGCCATCTGTTTCAAGCCACCAGGTCCAGGACTTGAACCACACTCAGCCATGTGAGAGTCGTGCTTGTTATAGGGTACACGCACTCGCCAGAGAGACAGATAGAGGGAAAGTGAGAAAGCAAGCCACCGGGTTCGGGACTTGAACCATAGTCAGCCATGTGGGAGTCAAGCACTTTAACCACAATACCACACAGTGGCTCCTAGTTTTTTAATAATACACATTTCCCATGAACTTTTTGAATACCACTCTCCTTTAGAGAGAGGGAGAGAGAGATATCCCACAGCCACATTGAGCAAGTCTGCTTAAGTCAAGGTATAAAATGCCCGTAACTGTTGCAGCTTTAGGGTTGACAGGAACAACCTACTAATTTTTAAATAGACATAAATAAATTACTTGAAAATCAGATTTCACAGAAGCACAAAATGACTTTTTTCTTCCTTTGGATAAAAACTGATACCATTTAAAAATTAATAAAGCATATTTGAATTAGGCAGAACTGACAGTAAGGGGCACAGTACCATCCTGACTGAAATACTGAACAGACGAGGGAGAGCCCCAAGCAGCAGGAGGCTGCTGGGAGCCGCATACAGGACAGGAGGGCCGCGTCTGCCATCAGCACTCAGTACCGTCATTCCTGAGCGAGGAGCGCCGGCCCATCCCTGCCGCTCCCCGGCTCTGTTTCCTCCATTAGCAGCAGAACAGCTGGGGATGAAATGCCCTCCAGGCCCTCCTCCACCTCCACCCCTGACTCTCCTGTCCCGGACAGTAATGGGTGTGTGGCACAGAGCCCCCAGCCATAGTGCTGCCTCCTTTCCAAGAACATCAAAAGTACCCCTCAGGGAGCCAGCTGGTGGCATGCAGTTAGGGTGCTGGGTCCCACATGGCCAACTGTATGGTTCAAGTCCCAGAGTTGGTGGCTTGAAAAACACGCTGGGTGGGACCAGCTAACGGTGGAATGGTTACGTCGCTGGATTCCCACGTAGTCAACCATGGTTCAAGTCCCAGGCCCGGTGGCTTAAACTCACACCAGCACGTGTGTGTGCACATGCCCAAAATCCTGAGAAAAGAATGGAGGAGAAGGGATTGAGGCATGGCCATTCTCTATGGGGGGGCGGGAGGGTGTGATTTCTCGCTTTCTGTCCCTCTGTCCCTCTCTCTCTCCAGTGAGTGCACATACCCTATAGCAAAAAAACTCTCAAAAAAAAAAAAAAGAAAGAAAGAAAGAAAGGAAGAAAGACAGACAGACAGAAAAAGAGAAAGAAAGAAAACCACGCTGGGCATATGCAGGTGCATGCTCAAAATCCCAAAAGGAGAATACAGAAAGGGGGGTGGTGTGGCCATTCGCCCCAGGATTAATTTCTCACATTCTCACTCTCTCTGTCTCTATGGTGAGCACAAATGTCCTATAGCAATTTTCTTTCTTTAAATGCACTTTAGGGGGCCAGGAAGTAGTGTGGAGGTTAAGCTGCTAGACTCACACATGGCCAACCACGGTTTGAGTCCCAGATCCAGCAACTTGAAAATCATGCATACCCAAAATCCTGAGAGGAGAATGGATGAGAAGGGACTGCGGTGTGGCCACCCCTCTGGGGAGAGATTTTTCACTTTCTCTCTCACTATCTCTGTCTCTCTCCAGTGAGCACACACACCTATGACAAAAACCTAAAAAAAAAATGCACTTTAGAAATGCATGTGACTCAGGACCAGGCATAATGACTATGTCACTGGATCCCATGTAGTCAACGCAGTTCGAGTCCCGGACCTAGTGGCTTAAGCTCACGCCAGGCGAGTATGTGTGCATGCCCAAGATTCTGAGAGGAGAATGGAGGAGAAGAGATTGCGGTGTGGCCATCCCCCCTGTGGGGTGATTTCTCGCTTTCTGTCTCTTTGTCTTTCTGGCGAGTGCGTGCGCCCTATAGCAAAAACCTCTCAAAAAAACCAAAACAAAACATGTGACCCTAGGTGTGGTGACGCGTGCTGTGCAGCCTCTGTGTTCTTCAAGTCAGGACCACGTGAGAGGCCTGGGTTCGATTCCTGGTCCGACCTAAAGGTTGGGCTTGGTGACATACACCTCTCATCCAGAGACTCGGCCAAGGCAGGAGGTCACGAACCTGAGGCTGGCCTGGGTAACACAGTGAGGCCTAGTCCGAAAAAGGGCCAGAGGCCACTCTACAGCTCAGTGGTTAAGACAGCTTGATCCCATATGGCCAAGTGTGGTTAGAGTCCCGGAACCAGCACCTTGACAAACACACAGGGTACATGTATACGCATGCCCAAAATCCTGAAAGGAGGGAGAGAGGGTGAAGGGATTGCAGCGTGGCCATTCCACACGGGAGTGCTATCTCCCGCTCTGTCTCTCTCTAGCAAATACACGTGCCCTCTGGTAATTAAACGTAAACAAATCAATAGAAACAAGCGGGAGCCAGATATGGTGGTGGCCACCTGTGCTCTCCCCTGGGAGGCTCAGGTAGGAGGGTTGTAACCGTGAGACCCATAAAACAAGGGGCCAGCAGATGGCGGAATGGTTACATCGCTGGACGTTCACGAAGCCTACCACAGTTAGAGTCTCAGACCCTGCAGCTGAAAACTCAGCTAGGACCAGCAGGTGGCGTGGTGGTTAAGGTGCTAGACACTCCCACAGGGGTGACCCCAGATCAAGTCCTAGACCTGGGAGCTTGTTTTCTTACTTTCACTCTCTCTCTCTCTCTGTCTCTCTGGTCAAATTAAAATAAATGAATGAATAAATAAAATAAAATAAAAAACTCAGCTGGGTGCGTGTGCATATGTTCCCCAAATCCTGAGAGGTGGGGCCAGCAGGTGGCATGGTGGTTAAGGCGTTGGACGCTCCTACATGGCCGACCATGGTTCAAGTGCCGGATCTGGTGGCTTGATTTCTCACTTTGCCTCTCTCTCTGTCTCTCTCTCTCTGGTCAAATTAAAATAAACGAATAAACAAATAAAAAATTTTAAAAATAATTTTTTTAATTAAAAAGAATCCTGAGAGGAGACTAGAGAAGGGATTGCAGCACAGCCGTTCCCCCAGGGGGTGATTTCTCGCTTTCTCTCTCTCTCTCCAGCGAGCTCATGAGCCGTATGGCAAAAAAATCTCTCTAAAAATAAACAAATAAATAAATAAAACCTCACAGGTAACAAGCAATCCAACGGCAACTCGCACAGGGCATGGAGGTCTAAGCCACTCCCTGTGCCTCTCCGCACCCCAGCACGGCCCACATACCACCCGTTAGAAGTCAGCACAGCCGGCCTCCTGCGCTGTCCTGCCTCTTTCCTGGCCGAGCACCGTTTCCAGCTGCCAGGCTCTCTGCAAGGCCACGCAGCGCCCCTACCTATTTAAACCAATTAGCTGCTGGCTGGCATGTGTCCAGAGAGCTACCTGGAACTGTGACCACGGCAGCCATGGAAACGTGGCTGCAGGTGAGCATAGTGTTTAACAGCTCTGTAATCTGAGGGCCAGCCCTAGCCTAGTGGGTAAGGGAGCGGATCCACAGGCTGACTGCCATCTGAGTCCTGGCTCGGCCTGGGTGCATGCCCAAATCCCAAGGGAGAATGGAAGAGAGGGGATTGGCATGGCCTTCCTCCCAAACCCCGAGGGCGCTTTCTCAGTTTTCCTCTGTCTCACTCCCTGGCTAGCATATGCACCTTGTAGCAAAATTTAAAAAGAAAAAAGAAAAAGAAAAAAGAAGTGGAGAAGGGATCCTGGTGTGGCCATGCCCCGCAGCGGGTGAGAGCTTCTCCCTCTCTGCTGGGTGGGTTTCTGAGAACTGTTATTCATTATCTCACCTACATGCTGCTTCAGAACCTTGTTAGCCTAAGCGTGGTTCTAAGAAGCACTTTCTCTATGCGCTAAGTAAAGGGGGCTGGGGAGGGGACAGTCCCATAGTTGAGCAGCAGTTGAGCGCTGTGAGAGGAAGCCAGATCCCACGTGGCCGACAGGTTCAAACCCAGGCCCTGCTGGCAACACGCCGAGTAGGCACACCTGTGCCCAGGATCCCGCGGGCATGGAGGATCAGAGGACGAGAGACTGCAGCGTGACCAGGCCCCCCAGGAGGAGCTCTCTCTCTCTCTCTCTGACATGCTCATGTACAACTTTATCATGAATTTTCTTTTCTTCTTTTCTTTTTTAATTTTTTTTTTTTTTTGCCATAGGGCATGTGCATTTGCTGGAGAGACAGAGAGAGGGAAAGTGAGAAATCGCTTCCCAGGAGGAATGACTGTGCCACAGTCCCTTCTCCTCGATTCGCCTTCTGGGAGTTTGGGCATGCACACACATTTTGATGTGATTTTCTTTTTCTTTCTTTTTTTTTTTTTTTTT